TGATTTATAAACACGGAGCTTCTGGAAATACATCAAATAAAAAGCCAGAGGTTGTTGCTGGCTGCAGACTCCTATCGTCGGGACATCTTTATGACATGGCCAGAAAACGTCTAATGGGCTTACATGCCGAGTCCTCCGGTTAGCAAAGTCCCTGGGAGGGGAAACCAGAACAGCTAAGCTTTATTCAATGTAGATTTCAAGCTTGAAGTTTGGGAATTGGGGGAGATTTAGTCATGTATTTTTGAGCTCATGGAAAGAAGGGGTTGATAGCGACAGCTCACCCCAGTTAGCAGGCAGGCTCCCCACACAGCTGTGCTGGCCTATTTCAATTAGGATCCTTTAGGACTGAGATCACCCCTGGTATGCCAGTCCTAAGCCACTCATGAGCCAGTACTGCCAATCAAGCCCAAATTCAACCACATGGTATGGTTGTTATGATGTAGACAGAAAATGACATGGACTTGTCTCATTCTGGGGAAAACATAAAGTCTGAAGCCAGTGAAATTGGGAAGGCTGCAAAACTCAATTTAGACACATTTTCCTGCGATTATCTCAACACAATTAACCAGTAGGTTACTCATGATGATTCAAGGAATGCTCTCACTTAAAAAATAAAAAAGACTGCTTTTCATGCTATGAAGAGGTCTCTTTGAGTTATTCTGCTCATGAGAACACAAGAACCTACAGAGTATGCATAATGAGGAAAGGGTAGAATAAAACTTAAGTAATTAGATGGTAGAAACTTAAATAATCAGACCCAGAACCGGAAATAGACACATTTAAAGCAGAGTTGTCACTGGACTATACATACAAAGTTAGAAAACACCACATACGTATGGAGAATTGGAGGTCTGTGTGATAGTCTCTATAAGTTCTTTCTTCTCTGAATTTAGTTCAAAACCAGTTATGATGCCTGTATATAGGAGACACTCAACTAGTTGTTGCAGAAAATGCAGAGATTCACAGGACACTGCATTTTTTCCTGAAATAGCTTTAAATTATATTTTGATTAAGCTATTATAAAGGGGAGAATCAAAACACCAGATCACGTCTCATCCAAATATAGATCCTGTGCCAAATGCACCAATGTAAACCGGGTTAAAAAAATGAATTCCAAGTCTAAGGGTTAACCACACTTTGCTGATTAAAATTGCACAAATTAAATCTCCTTCAATTTTGTTATAAGGACGTGAGGATGAAGTTTGTGCTGCTCCTAAGTTTGAGTAACAGCCTGTCCCGTGGACATGCTAGAGAAGTGCTTTCTGACTTAGTCATGCATATGGATAAAGGGGGAATCAATGTGTGTTAACACTTGCTGAAATGCACAGATACATTTATTTACTCATTCTCTCAAGCCTTCAACATCCATGTTGTGTGTGTGTTTTTTTTCAAGGGAGAAAATTCCTGATGTAACAGGATTCTTTTGTAGTTCACTAGTGACCACTATTGGACATACTTCCCTCAGCTTATATAAAGCAATCGGACTGGTTCACATGAAAATAATAACGGAGGCCAGAAAGTGGTCCTGAACAGACCAGACACTAAAAACAGAAGCCTGAGAAAACAAGAATGCAGCTGACCATGTCTAGACAAGAAACTCTGCAAAAACATGAAGAAAATAATGTGAAAAGAAATGCCTCACTGTTTTGCAGATTTATGTAAAAAAATCCTTACGTTTAATTTAAAGATAATCTAGACATGATAATAAACAATAGCTATAAAAAGGTACACACACACACACACACACTTCTTATTGGAGCAAGCCACAGTCGGCTGTAAATAAGGATTTTAACATTCATTCCACAGGCTAATGGTGCTTCTCGCCATCCAAGATAGATCCACTTAGATAATAGTGGAGGAGAGTGCCAGAGTGACTGAAGGGAATGGGCTATTGTGTTTGACTAGTTTCCATGTATAAATTAGTGCAGAGAAGAGAAAGAAATTCAGCAGAAAAACACATGTACTTTATTATAATTCTGAGTGTTACCCTTGCAACTCCCACAATAGCAGGCGAAAGTGCTTAAAACCACTTAAAAGAAACAAAAAGCAAATGCAAATTTGGCTAAATGCCTTTCTGACAAGGAGTGATTTGACTTCGAGTTTGGATGGACACATATGTCAATGGCTGGTCATGGTTTCTGCCACATTCTTTTTGAGCTGAACAATTGGGATAGAGAAAGGAGATTGCAAAAGGGGAAGCATGGTGGGAAGAGGTGGAAAGTTGGGTTATGTGGCTTAATTTGACCTGAATATCAGGATGAAAACCTCTTGGTCAGTACCACTGTCCCATTGTGACAAGAATAAAAATGAAGTCTATGGTGCATGAGCTTTGCACGAAAGTGTGGGTGGTAACCTAAACTAGATACAATAGTCACAGGGACTGCATTCTCTCAGGAACAATGCTCCAGATAAAAAGGGCTTTGGTGAGCCACATTGGATATTTGTACACAGTCACAAACCACAGCATGATACGGGTGATTCAGCTGCCAGTGATATGAAGGCTGTTTTGAAGTAGAAACTGGCTAGCCGCTGAAACAGAGTGTTCTCCAACTAAGTTAAAGGAATCTTTCAAAATTGCTTAAATGAATTCTAAGAGTAGACAGACTCTTGTATAAAAGAACTACAGAAAACAACAACAACAACACACAAGGCAACCAGTTCAATTTCTCTATCTAGACTGAAGGTTGAGTTGACGATGTCACACTTCTAGTTCTAAGTCAACTAAAGATCAGTCTAAAGGCCACTTTCTCTTAGGCCAGTAATTTAATTTTGGTCACAAAGCTAAAGGGGAAATTAATGAGCAAATGTAAAAACAGTGTATAATATTGTACACATCCTCAATGGCCAAGATGACGCAAGAAGCCTACGTATCTCAAAGTTCTCAGGACAACCTATGCCATTGATCCCATCATTACTAAATAATTTATCACCAGAGTAGAAAGCAAACAAGTTATTTTCTCTTCATTATGTGTTTGATTTGGGGACTCAAATATAAGCTTATTTCCTTATCTTTAAAATGGGTTTTAAAATGTCTTATTGGCAAAGTGACTGTGTGGATGCTTTGTAATGCTTTTCAAACACCCAGCCTAGAGTTTGGCCCCTTCAGACACATCGTACCCGGCACAGGGGCATATCTTGGCACTCATAAGTTCTCTCTTTTTTTCTACCATAACTCTAAGGAGCCCTGGATTTTGTACTCTCATTTAAATACAGGTACGAAACAAACCTGGATTTGATTTCATTTTATCCTTAATACAATTATTGCAATTGAAACAAAATATGTTTTATGTTTTAAGCCTGAAATAGCCTCATTATGTGCTCAACTATACACATGAATAGTCAAGATTATCAAAGAAGGATATAATGCATTTACCAAATGGGTAGCAAAACAATCTACTTCTGAATGGGAAAGTTTTTTTCCAATATGAAATGAGATCATACTTCATATGGAAGATACCAAAAAGTAATGTGTACTGGTAATTTGCTTTATGATACAATTAGATGGGAACAGACACATGCTTTTAAAAAATCACAAAGAAAAAAAAAATAAAAAGACGAGGCAATCTAATGGTGTGTATGTAAGTAACACCTCCCATATGGAAAAAATGAGACACCTTTCATAAATTGCTTGCTTCAGTAGTCATAAAGCACACCTAGACATTCTGCTTTTTATATTCCTCCACACAGCTAAAACTTACAGTGCATTCATGCTTAAAATTCAGTTCGCCTTTACATTTTCAAGAAATATTAAAAAATATATTTCTGTATGTACAGCCTTTGCAAGGTAACATTATGGTTTCCTGGCTATAATGATGCAAATAAGTGGAAATGTATAAAATGGTTAATCGCTGTCTGATTATCTGATGAATCTTCAATTTGTACCAAATGGCTTACTTCCCTCCTTCATAATTATAGTGCAGATCAAATTTGTCAGAGTGTAATCAGAACAAAACATTCCTTTACCATCGACAAATCAGTGCAACCCCATAATTCGCTGCCTGTTTACCTTGTGCCCCCCTGGCCTCGCTGCCTCCTGAGGAAATGCGGGCATCCATAAATGTCACGGAGAAAGCTACACTCACGTTCGTTTGGAACCAGTGTGTGCACATTTTGGAATCCAACCTTCAGATGAGGTTTACTAAGCTGCCTGCCCAGAACACTCTGGTTTAAAAAATGTGCATTGCTATTAATATTTTGAGTGTAGATTTTTTTTGGACAGTAAATGTTCATTTTCTGCCCGTAAAACCAAGTATGAGTCACAATGGAACATTTACTTTGAGTCAAAAATGCAGTGTGTGCTGATGTTCCAGAGCAGAGCATCTTATCACCGGGGCTGTGGGGAGCAGCCGTACGGAAAGTCAGCATTTTCTTCTTCTTCAAAAGCAGATCTGAGATCAAAGAGCATAATCCCCAATTCATAAAGAGCGGCATTAACGTGTATCCATACATGACGTGGAGTAATTATGAGCTATAATCTGGGTTGGCTGCAAAGAGGCGCTCATTCCCTCTTTTACCTGGCTCCCCAGCACATGGCCACGGAGGGGAAAGAGTTCTGAAAAAGCAGCGGGGGAAGCCCCTCAGAGCCCATCCTTCACAAAATTCCAGGAATGGCGGTAAGTGAGCTTGATCTGAGGACGCCTATCATCCAAATTCCAAGCATACACACAATCCTTCACGCAATCCCCAGCTCGCAAACACTGGGCAGTCTACCCCAAGGTCCATGACTCGATATTATGACAGACCTCTCACTGATCCCACACCGTCTGGCAGACTTAACTTTGCTTGAGAAGTTGGGGTTAAAGTTCTGAAAGAATCTTTTTTTTTTTTAATCACGTAAATGATTTTACCTGGCCTTTGAAGATCAAGATACACCCCCCCACCCAAAACACACACACACACACACACACACACACACACACACACACACACACACACGGCACCCCAACAGCACCCAGACTACATGGCAATAGCAACGTATAAAAAGGAAAAGGCATTTTTACCAGGAGCAGGAAAGCCAGAAAGAGGAGCGGTGTGCCAGGAGTTGCCCGACGGCAGCATTCCATGCTTGGATCCTTGCCGGAATCTGGATCTCGGACACTGAGCGAGCTGCTAAGTGCTCCTCTGCCTGCTGTCACATCCAGTCCCGGTGCTCACACTCCAGCCCTGCCTATCAGCTTCCATCAGCCCCGCTCACATTTCCTGACTAGGGGTGGGTGGGTAGGTGGATGGGTGGGGGGTAAGCTGAATGGAATCTCTCTCGGAGCAGGCAGCCAGCCAATCAGGCTCCTGCTAATCAGACATGCTGAATAACAAAGCCAGGGGGACAGAGAAAGTGTAACAGTGCGAGTTAAAAAAAAAGAAGAAAAAGAAGAAGAAGAAGGGGAAAAGGACGAAAAAGAAAGGAAAGCAGAGCGCGCAGCAGAGCCAGGAGAGAAATGCAAAAGATGCAGAACTGCAAACCCATGATGCCAAGCCCCGTGCTAGGAGCTAACCTGGTTAGTTCTTTGTGAGATGCTTTGCTCTTTGCCACTTGCCTGTGCCTATGCCTGCTGCTTTGTAAAATACAGTAGCTCCCTGTGACTCTGTATTGTTTCATTCAGGAGAGAAACTTAATCCCTGTCAATATATAACATATGCCATGAAGGGAGAGAGAATCCCAGTCAAAACCTGACTTGCTGTGCCCTTTAAATGTGTGCTGTACAACGGCTTTATTCCTCTTCCATAAAGTTGTTCTTTATTTTTCCCCTTGACTTGGAGGAGGGAAGACTATATAAATTTTTGGAAGTTAACTCATGGAACCTAAAGAGTGGCATACTTTACTTAGTGTATTAATGACTTGATTAAAAAAAAAAGAAAAAAAAAAAGAAAAGGAAGTTGGTTCTTTGTAAAGTGACAATTTAAAACACCCAAGATTTACTAAGGCTAAATGCACAATTAGAAATGTAGATCCACTCCTTTAAAAAGGAGTCCTTAACAAAGGCAGGGATGACTGGCACTGAAATTTGAGGTTGAAGAACTGCCTGTTTTTGACACATGGCCAACGCTTAACTGTCTGCCTTAGGAGGGGAGAGAAAAAAAAAGATGAATTAAATCCTCAGTTAATCCCCAAACCTTTTAACCAACAGACAGCTTCAGCCTCCTCCTTCGTCCTTTATCAGAGCTGCTGGGATGCAGCAGGAAAGGCTGAGGTGAGTCTTGCCTCCTTTTTCTCTCCCTCCTGCAGTGGATGAAGAGATGACCCTCCAGGTCCATCCCCACCTGGAGGAAGTGCTAACAGGCAGTGAAATGACGACAAGGCCAAGGGCAGGGCAGGAAGCTTTGAGTCCCGTTAATCCACCAGTGAGCAGGTTCCACTCTACCACAGGGGATTTTATTACAGTTTTAGGGAAGTGTCAAGTGTCCAACAAGGACGTCTTTCTCCTTATCTGCTAAGGAAATCACCAGGTTTTTGAGGGAATGAAATAGCAAACTTTGCCTTACATTCCCATAGGTGTGTCGCCAGGAAGTTTTTCCTTTGTAGATCTCTTGATAGGCTATTTATGGGAGAAGACACTTAGAACTAATGTTCTTTCCTTTCGTTAATAAAAAAAAATTACCGACAAGAGGCATGAAACACACAAATATGGAAAAGCTGATGAGGCCACAGTAGGCATGTGAATACAGGCAGGTCTGCAGCGCTGCTTTTCAGAAAGGTGAGGAAAAGCAGGTTGTTCAACTTCAGGCTACTGACTCCGTATGATATGTCAATCAAAGACAGCAGAGCTTTGCAATTCCCATTTTTAACCTGTGAGGAAAGTCCAGGGCGTACAAGGATCCACCTTCTCTTCACCTGGGAAAATGGATAATCCAAATCCATACCACAGAGGCCCTGTTCCTAAAGTGTGCTTTTCTCTTCTACAAACATTCGCTTCAGGAATCTCTCAAAAACCAGTGAAGGTTCATATGTTGAGGAGTACTCATGAGTAACTGTAATCATACTTGAAGGGTGTGATCTGAAGTCTTTATCGTATTACAAATGGATTGATTGAAATAAACCTTTCATTTATGAAGCTATGTTATATCTCTCTCTTTTTACACATTAGAGCTTTCTGCCACCAGGTTTTTTCTTCCATCAGAGTTACTAGTTGTAGAGTTCCAACTAGTTCTGTAAAAAAAAAAAAAAAAAAAAAAGGAATATTTTATCTCACACCTAAACTTCACTCAAGTGGCAGGTCAATAGGGAAGAGGAGGTGGTAGAGAAGGAATAATAGCAAAAATGGGAATGGTACAATACCATTTGTAGAAGAATAGAAAAAATTGGTCTGATAAGAGAATAACTGGTAGCCACTTATATGCTAATCTAGATGCCTTACTGCTTTGGAAATAAATATTGTCTCGATGGCTGAGTCAGAGATTTCTTTGAAGCTTTGATGGACGTGTCAATGTAGAGCAAGATGGTTACCACAACACTCACCTTATAGTTATAGTACAATATTTTTAAGTCAAGCTCTAAATCATTTCTTGACTGTCAGGAGGATGCCCACCATAGTGTCCCATGCTTCTGGTCCCTATACTTGTATTATTTTCTTTCCTGTTGGGGGATGCCCAGAAAAATGAGAAAAAGCAGTTGCACAGTCAAGCGTTAAGCACTGTAGAGCAAACTCCAAGCTTACTGTAACTTCAGAAACAGGAGAACAAAACCAAGATGGGTTAGAGTAATGGAGGTGAATTTTTGGCATGAGCTAATTTTGATAACTAGTGAAGTTTATGTGATATCTTTAAAGTTTACAAAATTATTTTATAACCACAATCTCACCTGACCTTTATGACTACTCTATGAAGTTGATTAAGTAACTCACCCCATTTTATCTTCGTGAACACTGAGGCTCAGGGAAGTGAAGTGACTTTGCCTCAGGCACCACTGGCTAGAACTGGACTTTGAAAGAGGTCTTCTGACTTTTACTCTCATCATTTATATATACTCATCCATATATATATATATATATATATATATATATATATATATATATGTGTGTGTGTGTGTGTGTGTGTGTGTGTGTGTGTGTGTGTGCGCGCGCGTGTGCGCACGTGCACACACACATACACACTTTCAGATGTTGGTAGTGGTGTCATAGTGGTTGGAGGGGATTGTTTATAGTGAAGGCAAAGGAGCAGGAAGCAGGCTGCCCAGGTTTACTATAGGTACACGCTACCTGACAGTGGAAAGTGTCTCATATTAGTGTACAACTTCTCTGCCTCCTCTCTGTGTCACTTCTAAAGCCTTTATCCAAGCTAAGGAAAAATGACATCAAACCCTGGGTAACCTAGATCCATGCTGACGGGAGGCAGCCTGGGAAAGGCCTGAGCGGGGCGTTGGCCGCGTTCCTTTTTTCCTCTTCAGGTATCTAAATTAAAGCCGTCTGCCAGTGTCTGAGCAGCAGCCGCGGCGGCAGCGGCAGTCCCGGCTGCTGTAATACCGGTTACCGGCTCCCTGCACAATATATTAGGTGAAATGAAAGCAGAAGCAAGAGTGTCAGGGCTGTCTGAAGCATCATTCCAAATGGTATGGATTTAACAATACTTAATTTAAAAAACACCGGCTTGGACAGGAGCAAGCTGTTAACATTCAGTGTGCTTTATGGCAGGAAAGAGTGAGCTAAACTCTCGGAATTTCTCTCCCTGGGGAGAGTACGTTACAGTGTTCACGCTGGAGCCACCTGTCTCTTCCTGAGGTTGGGCCTTCTCGCATGGCCCGCCAGTCGCAGTAACTGGGGTAAAAAGGGCAGAGGGTCTTCTGGAAAGAACTCAGGGGTGGGAGCATAGACAACCTGGGTAAGGCCTCATCTACCCTCTTGAAAGAGGTGGTTATGGTGGCACGTGAGCCTTACTGTTCTCACGGGCAAGTGTGGAAGTTGTGTGATGTCCCTAGCTAATTCTGAAAATTAAAGGGAGGAAAAGTGGTGTGTGAGTGAATAAGACAAAACTACAAGAAGCGGACTGCTGGTCTCAGGGACAGAGCTAGAATTTGAGTGGGTGACTATAGCTCTCTAATTCACCTAATACCCAGTTAGCAATTGGAGTGTTTGCTAAAAATCTTCAAATCATCATTCACACATAACCTAGAGTAATATAAGCAGAAACTCTATAAGATAGAGTAACTATTACCTTCAATGACTGATGAGGAAACTAGTGCTTTTATAATAAGTTCATCAAAGTTACTTATTAGCAGGTGAAAAATTGGACTGTATATGAGTGGTTTGACTTTGCCCTGGACAACTCTCTGAGAAGTTGATGAAAACAGTTATATTTATTGGGTCTTTCACTTGCCAGGTACTGCTGTAATTTTATATTTATTATTTCTTTTAATTATCACAACTCTATAATATAACTTTTTATCCTCATATGGATGTTATTTATGGCAGATCAGCATCCACATTCATTCCAACCACTGCCTTCCTAAAACAGAGGCCAGAAACCAAGAAACTACATTTCCCAGACTCCCTTGCAGCTAGGGCATTGGATGTACTAGTAACTTAGATTTGGCCACTCAGAAACACTTCCATGAGATTTGGAAAGTGGGAGTGAGGGAGGCAGAGACCACACTTTGCTCTTTTGCTTGTAAAAATGACTACAGAGTAATGTGCTTTGTCTGCAGCCATGCAAGCCATTCATTACATTTGTAGGTGGCAAGAGGTAGTTCTAGATGGATCAAAGAATGTGGGCAAAGTTCTTAAAGCCCTTGCATTTCCATTCAGCAGAGGACTTTCTGGTTATGAAAGAGGCAGCTGCTCCTGTGGTGATCTGTGGCTGTAGAGTAGCATGGGAGTCTTTAGAAAGTTCAAACCAGAGACTTTTTCCAATTTTCTGTTAGCTGATTAACACCCCATAAGATAACATTTTATGCTTAGACTAGAGGTCCAGAATACCATTTCCTGCATGGGTGGGGTCTGGCTGGCCACCCTGATCTGGCTGGGACTGGGGACAGGAAGGGGAATGGAAAGGGAAGTGGGGACTTGGGAGGTAGGCCCACCAGCCCCGCCCCCTGTGAATTCTGATCAAATGCCCAGTTGAGTGGACAATTTGC